AACACCTGGAAAGAGCACAAGAGGCTCAAAAGACCTATTATAATAGCCAAGCGAAAGTTCGCAAATTCCAGATGGGAAATCAGGTAATGGTGCTAGTGCCCACAGTTGAAAGCAAGCTCCTGGACAGATAGAAGGGACCATATGAAGTAATAGAAGCTGTCAGGGAGATTGATTATAAGATTTAACAGCCTGATCACCAGAAGCAGGAGCAGATCTACCATGTCAATCTATTGAAGCCCTGGCAAAACACAGAAGCTTATGTGGTCGCCCTAGAGACGCCACCAGAATATCCCCACAATTGACTCCTGAACAAGGAGCAGAAGTTATCAAAATGACTGAATGAAACCACGTGTTCTCTGAGAAGCCAGGCAGAACCACAGGTCATCATCACAGATCCCGGAGTACAGGTGAAGGTTAAATCATTCCAGATCTAGGAGTCATTGAGGAGTCCCATAGTCAGTGGTCCCGTGCAATCGTTCTGGTACTTAAGCCAGATGGCACTACGAAATTCTGGAATGACTTTGGAAAATTAAACAAGGTATCCCAGTTTGATGCCAACGCCATACCTCAAATAGGTGAGCTAATTGACCAACTGCGGAAAGCACAATTCTCGTCCACCCTTCAACCTGACCAAAGGGTATTCGTAAATTCCTCTGGCAAGGGAAGCCGAAAAAAACCACCCCCCACCCCCAACTGCTTTTTCGACACCAGAAGGATTGTACCAGTACACCATCCTCCCTTTGGGATTGCACAGGGCTCTTGCAACCTTCCAGCGGCTCATGGATAAGCTGTTACATCCACATGCCAAGTAAGCTGCCACTTACTGGGATGATGTGGTCATACATAGCCCAAACTATGAGATGCACCTGGAAAAGGTGGAAGCAGTATTAGATACCTTGAGGGCAGTGGGTCTCACTGCGAATCCCTGCAAGTGTGCAATAGGTCTAGTGGAAGCCAAATACCTTGGGTACATTGTGGGGAGAGGCACAGTGAAACCCCAACTAAACAAGCTAGAGGTGATACAAAGTTGGCCTCAACTGACCTGGAAGAAATGGGTCAGAGCATTTCTGGGGATTATTGGGTACTACAGGCAATTTATTTCCCACTTTGCTACCGGAGCATACCCATTGATAAACCTCACAAAAGCCTGGGGCCCAGACATAGTGAAATGGGCCTGCGTGGCTGAAGAAGCTTTTGCAGATCTGAGGACAGCCCTCTGCAGTAGTCCGGTGCTAGCAGACCCAGACTTCGAGAAGGAGTTTACTAGAAATGGATGCCTCTGAGGTAAGGTTGGGAGCCGTACTTTCTCAAATGGTAGGGGAGGAAGAACACCCAGTCCTATTCCTCAGTAAGAAACTCCTTCCCAGAGAACAAAAATATGCCGTGGTAGAGAAAAAATGCCTGGTAGTAAAATGGAACTGAATTTCATTACCTCACCTTCCTAGTATCAGATCAGGGCCTCAGGGCCCATTTTTACTATCTTTGCTCAGGGTAGGCTTTTATTAGCTTCAGCATGAGTTTACCCTAGGAATGAATAAGAGCAGGTCCTGTAATACAACCCTTCACTTTTCACATCTCATTTTCCCTCTGTTCAGCTTTGACAATGCCTCACTCCCCAGTGACTGAAATGGACTGAAATTAAACTGGTTCCTACTCCCAAATGGTGGTGGCTCAGAAACACGGGCAGCTTTTGAAACATATGTTCAGTGAAGCAATACGAGCAGAGAGATGGACAATCTGATCCCTTAAAATATTAATCTACTTTTGACAGCAGTCCATCACATGCAACAAATAAATGTTTATGTAAGTTTAAAGCTTTAATCATTTCATATGTCAACTGCTCTGAAAAAAAACTATGCATGCAGTAGAACTGATAACCTACTGAAGAAAACAATATTATTAGAAATGGGAATAATTAAACTCTTATTATTTAAAAAGACTTCCTTTCCAATTTAAACACTAAAATGCCCGTGATTATTTCTGTTGGCTCTAGTGTATTAGTTTTAATTAATTCAATACTCTTAAGAGCCAGGATTTGTGGTAAAAAGAATATAATCAAATGACTTATTCTGAACCTGAACAATCTGGAAGAAATCCTTATCGTGGAAAAATGCATGCTATTAGCATGTTTGTATTTCCACCTAGCTGGAAAGTGCACTGCAAGATGCAACAGATGGTCTGACTTTTTTTTTTTTTAAACCAATTTGTAGCCCATCATTGCTAAAAAAAACCCACAGCTTATCTGAGATTTGTCTACAATTTATCAGTGAATTTAGATTGCATTTGCAGCAGTCACAACAGCAGGTGCCCTGGCCCAGTACCAGGCCTTAGGCAGTTCCAGAATGGCTGGGTTATATAAGCCCTATCCTTGGCAGTATTCATATGCAAATGTCATAATAAAGTGCACAATTTATTTAAAATGGTAAGAATTAAGATTTTCATTTACTTAGCCAAATTTATTGCAGAGATTATAAAAACAGGAACATAATCTTATTTAATTAAAAGAAAATCTGCAAATCGCAGTAGACATACTTCTTTGCCTCTTGTACATAAGAATATCACACTCTGATGCAAGAGACTGGGACAGTAAGTAGAAGGATAAAGTTCTTGAAACCTTCTTAATAAACTACAGTAGTATCCAGATACCACAAACATTTGTGTATCTTTAACCAACACATAATACAAGTTACTGAATGCTGCAACACTAGAAGAAAATAATCAATTTATTTATAACATGCAATTAATGGAAGAAATGGAAAAAGAGAAAGGCTGCTCTTGTGGTTAAGGCAAAGGACTGGGAGTCAGGACATCTGGGTTTTAATCCCAGTTCTGCCACAGACTGCTGGGCAAATCTAGGAAGGTCACTTAGGTCTAATTTTCAGAAATGGCCTCTACAGACTCCATTGCTTCGTGGCATCTACTTCAAGTATTAGCCCTCTCATGGTCCTCTTCACTCTTAAAGCTCTATAGTTGGAAGGCACTGTTTCACTTTTGTTGCCCTATGTGAAGTTATCACAAGGAGCATCCTTTGGCATTTTTAAATTAAATGCATAAGTAACTAAGGGCTAAATCCTCTTCAATATCCAGCCTGAGTAAACATTCTGTGTGTTGGGAAGCAGAATCTTTCTTAATAGATAGCAGCCCAAAGAATGCCGTAACCTCTCCAGCAGCTGCATACATATCTCAGTGTATCGTGGATCTGTATAGTTCTGGATTCATCAGATCAGCATTCACCAGTGCAAAATCAACTATATGATGGGAGTCCCCACAAAAGGTATGGTGATGCCCAGGAGATGCAGACTGTGTATAGACTTCCTGCAGCCTGCCTCCCTCCCACTGGTTCCATTGCATTCAGGGCCTTCCAGGTAGTGGTTGAAGTGACAGGTAAATTCTAGACTAAACATTAGGTGCAACGTTTTGGATGGGCTGGCAGCATGTGAGAGTGCATTGAAGAGCAAGCGTGTTTAATATCTTAAAGATTTAGGAAGAGATTGTAGTATTTGAGGTTTGTTTATTAGGATGCAGCTGAGGAATTTGGCTGTTGAGATGGTCAGCAAAGGGTGGGTTTCTGGTAAATGTTATGGAAGTGCCATGATTTTATTATGGCCTGGAGGAGGAAAGCAAAGGAAAGGGCAAAGTCAAAGATGATCTCCACGTGATGGGCCTCAGATACAGGGGTGATGGTGCTGTTATCAACCAATACAGAGAATGGAATTAGTGGAGGTTCTTGGGGAGAAAAGGTTAAGAGCTCTGTTTTGGCTATGTTGATTCTGAGATTATGTCAAGTCATCTAGATGAGTGAAGCCCCAATCATGGTTTCTCTATATACAAGTAAGAAGACACGGTCCCTGCCTCAAAAATCTTATAGTCTAAGAGACATCACTGAGACAAAAAGAGGTGCAAGACTGAAGTGCAGAGCAGAGATCTAAACTAAAGAGGTCTACTCAACAATCGTAAGTATAGAGTTGATAATTAAACCCATGTAACTGGATGAAGTTGCCCTAGGATAGGGTGCACAGGGAAAAGAAGAGGGAGCCTAAGAACAGAGCCCAGAGGAATCCAACAGAGAGGGAATGAAGGGGAAACTGCCAAGAGCAACACTAAAAGAGCAGCTAAAGAGGTAGAAGACCTATGAAAGGACGGTGCCACAGAAGCTCAGAAAAGACAGAATATCAAGGAGGAAGTGACAAGCCATACCAAGGGAAGCAGAAAAGACAAGGTTGAAGTATCCACCTTGAGACTTGGCTTAGAAATGACTTAGATGCAGAGGATAACAGTCAGTTTAGAGTACACAGATCTGGCATTCAGTGTAAGGTCAGTAAATTAATACAGCTCTTACAGACAGCCCACTCCATGGCCTTGTCTAGGCTAGAATTTAAGATTACATAACACATGCTAACTAACACCTTTTAAGAGTCTACTTTCGATAAGACACAGTTGTCTTTAATGTGCTAAAAGAATCAAACTAAAGGCTAGGTTATCCTGATAAGCGCTAACATTACATCTGAAATCCTAGCCTAGACAGGGCCAGTGAGTTTGGAAATAAAGCAAAAGAAGGAGAAAGAATAGTGGCTGGAAAGAAAATAAAGCAACCCCTGGCCCTATAGTATAATTAGTCCCATTAGTCATTGGTGACTCAGGGCCAAAAAAAATTATTATTTTTTTTAAACAGTGGCACGTCCTCTTCACATAATTTCTACATTGGTATACATAGTTTATTTTGTTAACTGCTCTTCGGTCAAAGTATTGATTTCAAGTGTTTACTAAACGTGTAACGAAAAAGTTTTTTTCCTTATCATCATATAAATAAAAGGAAATTTACCTATCTGTATATCTTATTATGTAGTCTTACACAACTAAGTATTCCACAATCTTAAAGAAAGTCTCATATCAGCTAAATAATTCTCTGGACATGTCTATACATTGCTTGGTTTTCAGATCCTGGCCTCCATTTGCAAATGCACTCACATCTAATAAGATTTATCAAACACATATCATACCATTGCACTGGTGGTTGGATTCTGGAATGCTCTACTTATACCATCCTGTCGCAGCTCAGGTAAGGTGGCAGAGTGGTTCAATTCCGATGTGTTTGGGGATTCAGTGATAGACTTTCTGGATGAATTGATTTCAGCCTAAAGAGAATACATTTGTACATTTCAGATGAGAGATCAAATTAGTTATAATATACTCTAATGTAGTTTATTTGATCTATTATGGAGCATCTGTTTCAACATTTACAGCATATGAGATTTACGAATCCTTATCAATAGACATCCAAATTGTGTTTAAGCTATATACAGTGTTTCTGGAATTTGTTGCGGTGTTGCAATTCTGAACAATTTTCACAAGGAGTAAGTCTACTGATGCACAAAAACAAATAAAAAACCTGCAGACGCATTTCTGATTTTTAGTTTCACTTGCTTGTATATAATGGTGGACGTTAACATCCAAAAGGGGTATAAGATAAGGAACGAATTTGGAGAAAAAAAGTTACCTCAAATAAATGCCAAACATTTTTTAAAAGTTATATTTCTTACATGGTCTCACTGACTTTGACAGCATTTTGGGGAATCCTTATGAAAGCACTGATTGTTTTAGAGTATTTTTTCTAATGTATTACATATATAAAGGCTTTCCTTGCACATTAGGCCTTCATGCTTTCAACTGCCACATCTTTTTCTTGAAAAAGCTGAACTGGACCAAAGCAGAAGTCAACACTCTACACCTTGCGTCTCTTCTGCCTCACAACCAACCATGATGGGACAAACAGCCATCAGCTGGCTATTTAAACTATAAAAGCACAAAACATGCCTTTAGGGGGCTCATATCTGGAATGGAAATTCTTCAGAGATGTTATCCTAGCTTAGAGGAACCCCAAACAATATCTCATTTCATAAAGATATAAGAAATATTACTTCTCAACATCTCAAGAATATTAAACTGTTTATTTTCTATGCTATTAGAATCCAATATCTTGTGAAGTGTTAAATGCTTTACAACCTAATTGATACTAATGGGAACAAGAGGCATTCGCACATTACAGGGTTAGGCCCTTAATTTTCAGTGCAAAAGGGATAAGAGAAAGTCAAAATATTAACTGTTTCTTAGCATCTATAAAATGTCTCACATTGAGAAGTGCTACATGTTTAACAGTGTTCTCACTTCGAAGATTCAAGAGAACGTGACACATCCATGAGGACTTGTAATGGGGTCACTGCAGAGGAGAAAAAGTAGCATCATTCTCCTGAGCTGAACAGTTTACCAATGGCACATAACTATGAGTAAAAACAACTGGTCTGAACCAATTTTATTCACAGAATGCAGTGCAGATAAAGTACTTTGGTAGAGGGGTGCAATGCTACACTTCCCATGCCCTGTGTCTGAATCTCAAGCGACTGAATTTGCTTTCTCCAATCTTATTAAATACATACATAAGTAGTAGTATTAAAAAGTACAAGCAAGGGATTAGGAACCAATAAGTTGTGTAAAGAACAAGAGCTCATCTCCTGACATTTTAATGTAACCCTTTTCTCTTCTATGCTCTTATTCCCACGCGTTGGTCATGCCTTGCTGTTCTGTCTGATACTACAAGGTCCTGAACACCTTACATTTCATGTGATCTAGAAATTTTTCCTATTATTTTTAAAATTGGAATGAAACTTTAGATCAATTCACTGATTGTCTGATCAATATATTCCATTCCCTTCATGTTTAGATAGACTGGCTTTTTGTAACTCACTTATATCAAATATACTACTTGTTCAAATGTAGGTCAAGACAACAATAGCATGTCATACAGTGCACTACATAGGAACATAGCTTGGACATAGGACTTTGCAGAAGACTGAGGCTTTTCCTGAGGAGCGTATAGCAACAGTTCTTACTTATTCCAAATGCTAACATGGAATACATCCATTCTTAGAAATCCCAATGGTTCTTTACACCCCTCAATGGTAATTCCCACAATTTGTGTGTGTGTACCAAAATAATAGTCTGTATCAGACAAATGTTAATAAGAAAATAGAACCATCTCCTGCCATCTGACCTGGGGCTGTGAGCCAATCAAGTCAGAAAACTGGAAGTCAGAAGGTATGCCTGGCTTTGCCAGTCTTGTTTCCTGGCTTTGGGTAAGCCACTTAAAGGCAATATGCATGGAGAAAAAAACTGGGATTGTGCCCTTTTTTGCTTCTGATGTGTGAATGCAATTTGAAAGGGTTTGGGGAGGCTTGTGCTATACATTAGAAATTCTGATCTTGCTAATCCATTTTTTTCCTAGAAGTGTATAGACCACTAGTTCTGTAGTAGGCTTATGATGAGGTAGAGAGGAAGGATAGTCCAGTGGTTAGGCTGCTACCCTGGAACTTGGGAGACCTGGGTTCAATTCCGTTCTCTACCCTAAACTTCCTATGTGACTTTGAGCAAGTCACTTAGTATCTCTGTGCATCAATTCACCATCTGTAAAATGAGGATAACAGTACTTCCCTTTGGTGTGTGGATAAATAAGTACATAAAGAGTGAGAGACACAAATACCCTGATGACAGGTGCCATATAAGTCTGATAGGTAGGTAGATAGATAGATATCATCTTTAAAAATGTGAAACTTCATTGAATGGGGAAGAGATTTTTATTTAGGCTATGTGGTGAATTTGTTTGCTTGCTTGTTAGATTCCTGTTCAACTCAACGCCCTGAGAAAAACATTTTTAAAATAGTTTTGTGAAAAGATTGTACTCCCATAACCTTTCAATTAAGAGATCTGAAAAATCTGGATTGTGAGCCGAAATCACCAGAGAATCTGCTAAATCAAAAAAGAGCAGACTTGACATTCCTAATATTTCTATTGTTAAAAACTAGTAGTATTTAAAAACAAGAACAAAAAATCCCACACACTTTTCAGGATTTATACATCATAAAGAACCAAAAAGGGCACAGTCCAATTTTTAGCCTTTTGCAAGTCACCTTTTAACTCTCTGTGCCTGTATTTCTCCTCCTTAGCCCACCTTTGTAAAGTATTTTGAGATCTTCATATGAAAAATATGATTATGAACAGAATCAGGCCATGTCCATATTTGGAAAGGTGACTGCTAAGGAACACATAAGTGCTACAAAAATTGGTATTGGTTGTTTAGCAGGTGGCAATATTCACTTTGATTCTAGACCAAACCAATATTGTAGCACAGTGCTAGGGGGAACTGTGCTACTGGAGATATAGGGTGAAATTCTGACCATGCTGAAGTCAATGGGTAGTCTTTTGCATAAGATGCAACACTGAAATTTCACTACAGTTAAGAAAGCCCTGACTCCATGTACAGCAGAGTCTTCCTCAGTGGTTCACTTTCTTAAGTTTAGTGAAAAGCATATGGTACATGCAAGACATGCTAATTTCTAAGTATCATACTTGGCTAAACAAATACCTGATTTCACTGTACCACCCAAAAGGCACTTTCTGGTAAGAACCCTATCCATACTAGATTCCAATTTTCTACATTCAATCTCTTCAGCTGTGCAGCTTGTGGGGGGAAAAAGTTTGCAATTTTTTTTGTGCATAATGAAAAAAGTATATGTTTTACTCTCTTCATATACAAAAAAAATCATCAGAACTGTTTCTCTAAACTTCTCAAAAGTATTTATGTTTGGGCAAACACTAAACTAAGCTTGGAAAATTTCATCAACACAGTTAGGCAACCTTTCCTATCACCTTTGCTACCACTGTCACTGAACCACAGTCGGTGCTTGTGTCGGACAACACATCAGTTTGAGTCTTCCCAGAAACCAACTGCACCATCTTTGGAAAGTGTCTGGTTTTCCACAGCTTACCCTGAAACCAAGTCTCCTGCACAGCAATACAATGCAGTGCTGCTGTGTTACAATGTAACCGTTTTCTCAATGTTTTTGTTTCCTCATAGCAACACAACATTTGCAGTTTCCTCAAATTAAGCGATCAAACCAAGAAAAATTACGAACAGTCAGTCTACCTTGAAGCTAATTTGTCTGGCAAGTTCCTTGGCCTCTTCATCAGCCTGGCTTGAAGCACTTCCTGATGTTAATGGTAACAGGCTTATCTTCATTGCTGAGCCACATATATCACAGCAGAAATCCTGTGACCTGATAAGTAAAATAGTTTTAAATGGAGATTTTCTTGTTTTAAACAATGTTTTTCTTGAAAAATGAAAAACATTAACAAGACAACCTACCAAAGCACTTGGGTAATAATTAGCATAAACAGTTAAAAAATAAAGTATGCTATCAGTCTGTAGCAACTATCATTGGCTGCAGTGTTGAAAAATCTGGGCTTAGAATTCTATATACTCTTTCCTAGATGTAATTTTGGGAAAATATTTACTCCCAGTTTTCATAATATTTCTGTGGCCTCTTATTATATTAAAGATATTACCAACATTATTAATGGCTGTTTTATCTCTGTTATAAATTAATTATCAGAACCAGCAAAATATATAACGCAAAAAGCCATGGTATTACAACAACATAGAAACTTTATACCCACTAAATTCAGACTTAAGGTTCCTCTCGCAGCATTGACTCTATTACACTACACATGTATGTTATGATGGGATCTTTCATTATATGATGGTAATAGTAGACTTTCAATGACAGGCCGTTGCACACACCAAAAAAACAAAACAAAAAACAAAAAAAAACCCAAACACCAAAACAGCAAATAGCCCTCATTTAGATATAGCCAAGATTTTGGTTTTTAAATTAACCCTTCCAAAAATTATTTAGAAGTAGTTTCAGAGTATTTTATATTTCTCCACAAAACTTAAAAAAAATAACAAGGAAGCTAATGAGTTTTGAAGCTTTGGCTTCCTTGACCATGGGATGCTCCTCCAGGAAGGAGGACTGGAGGGAAGAGATGGCAACAACCAGATGAAGAAAGGGAAAAATATCATCAAACACCAACTTGCCAACCTAGCCAGGAGGGCTTTAAACTAGGTTTAAAGAGGGCAAATGACAAAATCCCACACAGTAAGTATAAAAAACGTGACCTTGATGGAGGGCTCGAAGTTGGGGATGGGAATGGAAAATTACAATAGGTTCATAGAATCAACAAGAAGGAAAACAGTGGGAGAATCTTCTCAACATTTTACATGTCTATACACAAATGCCAGGAGTATAGGAAATAAACAGGAAGAATTGGAAGTCTTACTACACAAGCAAAATTATGACTTAATTGACATCACCAATTTGGTTGGATAAATTTCATGACTAGAATATTGATATTGAGGGGTATTATATTGTTCAGGAAGGACAGGCGGGGAAAAAAGGGAGGAGGGGTTGCATTGTATATCAAGAATGTATACACTTGTTCTGAGTCCAGAAGGAGCTGAGAGGCAGACCAGCTGAAAGCCTCTGGGTGAAGATAAAAGGATCAAAAACAGGGACAACATCATGGTAGACCACCAAGTCAGGAGAAGGAGGCAGCAGCATTTCTAGAACAAACAACAGAAATATCCAAAACACATGACCTGGTAGTAATGGCAGACTTCAACTACCCAAATATCTGTTGGAAAAGTAATATAACAAAATACAAAATGTCCAATTAGTTCTTGGAATGTGTTGGGGACAATTTGATTCAGAAGGTAGAGGAACTAACCAGGGGGGTAGCCATTTTAGACTTGCTTTTGACTAACATGGAAGAATTGGATGTGAATCTGAAGGAAGAGGGCAACTTGGGTCAAAGTGATAAAGAAATGATAGACTTCATGATTCTAAGGAAAGGAAAGAGTGAGAGGAGCAGAATAAGGATAATGGGCTTGCTAGGTAAGATCCCATGGGAAAAAAATACAAGGGAAAAAGGAGGAGTTCAGGAGAGCTGACAGTTTCGCAAAGAGACAATATTAAAGGCAAAATTGCAAACTAATAGGAAGAACAGCAAGAGGGCAATATGGCTACATAAGGAGCTCTTTAATGACCTGAAAATCAAAAAGGAATCCTACAAAAAGCTGAAATATGGACAAATTGTTAAGGATGAATACAGAAGGACAGTGCAAGCATATAGAGACAAAATCAGAAAGGCTAAGGCACAAAATGAGTTACACCTGGCAAAGGACATAAAAGGCAATAAGTAGCTCTATAAAAATAAGGTTCTATAAATACATTAGGCGCAAGAGAAAAATAAAGGTAAATGCAGGTCACTACATAAAAAGAGAGTAAAGAGAGCTAATAACAGACAACGCCAAGAAAGCTGAGGTGTTTAAAGTCTATTTTGCGTCAATCTTCATTAAAAATGTTAGTTGTGACTAGATGCTTAACACAATTAATATTAACAAGAAGGGGGAAGGAACACAAGCGCGAATAAGAACAGATTAAAGACGATTCAGATAAGTTAGGTGTATTCAATTCAGCAGGGCCTGATGAAATTCACCCTAAAGTATTTAAGGAACTAGCTGAAGCAATCTTGGAACCATCAGTGATTATCTTCCAGAATTCATGGAGGACAGGTGAGGGCCCAGAGGACTGGAGACGGGCAAAGTACCTATCTTTTAAAAGGGGAACAAAGAGGATCCAGAGAATTATAGGCCAATCAGCCTAACTTCGATACCTGGAAAGATACTGAGAGATCATACAAGAAGACCTGGACAACCCTGAAAAATGGAGCAATAGAAATGGGTAGAAATTTAATAGTGCAAAGTGCAAGTTCATGCACTTAGGGAGTAACAGCAAGAATTTTTGCTATTAGCTGGGGTCTTATCAGTTGGAAGCCACAGAGGCGAAAGACCTAGGTGTATTGGTTGATCACAGGATGACTATGTGATGTAGCCATGAAAAAGGCTAATGCAATCCTAGGATGCACCAGGCAAGGTATTTCCAGTAGAGATAGAGAAGCGTTAGTACCATTATACAAGGCACTGATGAGATCTCATCTGGACTGCTGTGTGTAATTCTGGTCTCCCATGTTTAAGAAAGATGAATTCAAACTGGAACAGGTGCAGAGAAGGGCTACTAGGATGATCAGAGGAATGCAAAACCTACCTCAAAAGAGAGCTGGGCTTATTTAGCCTAATCAAATGAAGACTGAAGGGAGATAGGATTGCTCTCTATAAATACATCAGAGGAATAAATACCAGAGAGGGAGAGGAGTTAAAGTTAAGTACCAACGTTGACACAAGAACAAATGGATATAAACTATCCATCAACAAATTAGACTTGAAATTAGATGAAGGTTTCTAACCATCAGAAGAGTGAAGCTCTGGAACAGCCTTCCAAGGGGAGTAGTGGGGACAAAAAACCTAACTGGCTTCTAGACTAAGCTTGATAAGTTTACAGAGGGGATGGAATGATGAGATTCCTACAATGTAAGTAGCCGATCTATGACTGCTAGTAGCAAATATTACCTGGTGATGGGACACTAGATGGAGAGGGCTCTGAGCTACTACAGAAAATTCTTTCCATGTGTCTGGCTGGTGGGTCTTGCTGAAATGCTCAGGATCCAACTGACTGCCATATTTGGGATCGGGAAGGAATTTTCCCCCAGGTCACACTGGCAGAGACCCTGGGGATTTTCTGCCTTCCTCTGCAGCATGGGGCACAGGTCACTTGCAGGTTTAGACTAGAGTAAATGGTGGATTCTCTGTAACTTGAAGTCTTTAAATCATGATTTGAGGAGTTCAGTAACTCAGCCAGAGGTGAAAGGTCTATTACAGGAGTGGGTGGGTGAGTTTCTGTGGTCTGCAATGTGTAAGTGGTCAGACTAGATGATCATGATGGTCCCTTCTGGCCTTAAAGCCTAAGAGTAAATTATTAAACAATTTGTAAGCACCTAGAGGATAATAGTGTAATAAGAATAGCCAACATGGATTTGTCAAGAAAAAAATCATGCCAGACCAAACTGATTGCCTTCTTTGAAAGGGTTATTGGCCCCTAGTGCATAGTGGGAAGCTGTCAATCTGACGTTTTGATTTTAGTAAAGTTTTTGATACATTACATTCTCATAAGGAAACTAGGGAAACAGTCTAAACGAAGTAATTATAAAGTGGATGCTCTACTGGTTGAAAACCCATATTGTCTAGCTGGAAGGATGCATCTAGTCCCACAGGGGGGGTCTGCCTGGGTCCAGTACTATTCAGTATTTTCATAAACTTGGATAATGGAATAGACAGTATGGTTATACAATTAGTGGATGACACCAAGCTAGGAGGGCTAGCAGGCCCTTTGGAGCACAGGATTTGAATTCAAAGGGATCTTGACAAATTGGAGAAACTGGCCTGAAGTCAACAAGATGAAATTCAATAAAGACAAGTGCAAAGTGCTACACTTAGGAAGGAAAAAAATCAAATGCAGAATAACTAGCTAGGTGGTAGTACTGCTGAAAAGAATATGTAGGTAACAATGAACCCAAAAGTCAATATAAGTCAATATGATGCAATTGAGAAAAATCATTTCGGGATGTATTAACAAGGGTGTCATATGCAAGACACAGGAGAGACCTGTTCAACTCTACTCTGCACTGGTGAGTACTCCAGGTGGGGCTGCCTCTAGTTCTAGGTGCCACACTTTATGGAAGATGTGGACAAATTGGACAGAGTCCAGATGAGAGCAACAAAAATGATAAAAAGCTTAGAAAACCTGACCCATGAGGAAAGGTTAAAAAAACTTGGCATGTTTAGTCTTGAGAAAAGACAACTTGGAGGGGGAATCTAATAACAGTTTTCACATATATTAAAGGCTGTTATACAGAAGATAATGATCAATTGTTCTCTATGTCCACAGAAGGTAGGACAAGTAATTATGGGCTTAATCTGTAACATGGGAAATTTAGGTTAGGTATTAAGAAAAACTTTTAACTATAAGTATAGTTAAGTACCATAACAGGTTACCAAGAGAAGCTGTGGAACACCCCCCCCCACCCCCCACATTGGAGGTTTTTAGCAACAGGTTAGAAAACACCTGTCAGGAATGGTCTAGCTATACTCTGTCCTGCCTCACTGCAGGAGGAGGGACTAGATGACCACTTGATGTCATTTGCAGATCTACATTTCTATGATTCTATCATACTATAGACAGTGTCTGTTATACACTTCTCTCTCCCTTCGTCCCCCACCACAGCCACCCACACCCACAGGTAAGTTCTTGGTACTTATCCTCTTGTACCTTATATTAACTCCAGCCATCTCTTTTCCCTACCCTGCAATTTAGCCTGTGCTATAATCTAAACTATGACCTTAAAGAATGAACAACAACAGATGAACCCATACTTTGTCCACATGATGCTGACAGAAATGTAACACTATCAAAATCAGGTATTTTCTTTGACAAACATTCTTGGACTTGTACAACATGCAGGCAAAAAACATAAACATGATACTCTCTACAATGAGTCCCAAATAAAGCATTTGGAGTAAATGCTGATATAGATCATTGTAGATAACATATATAATTTTCTAAATGCTCTTTTCTCAGAAGGCAAGACAACAGCAAAAGACATTCTTATTTCTGGAGTACAAGTACTTTGCAAAAGAAGATTGAGAACCAGAAGTTTGTACAATGGGGCTAAAGAGTGAAGCAGGCTAAAGAGTGAAACCTTCTGGCCAACAAGAGCAATTAAAATCACTGGGCTCTCATAGAATCTAGAGATGGAAAAGGTCAGCTAATTTCATATTCCTACCAATACAGACCATCGGGGGAAGAGAGGCATAAAGCAGAGAAAATTTAGTATTTGAATTTTGGTAGCACCCACAATATGCTAGACACAGTACACACCTGAAAAAGCTACAATCTAAGGAGAAAAGCAACACATGAAGGGAGGAAAAGAGGAATATCAACACAGTGCAAATATACTATCTCCAGCTACCTAATCATAATTAACTGGCTAATTTATTGCAGACATCATTGCAATAAATGGGTCTTAAGGAAGGACTTAATGGAGAATGTAGTGACTTTTTTAATCACATGAAGTAATGTGTTCTGTGTGTAGAGGATGGCATGATAAAAGGAGCTAAGTCAAGGCTCCTTGAAAAATAAACATGGGGGTATGACACCAAGACCCACTGACATATTCATTACACCTCACACTCTGCTGTCATCATCTGTATCTAAAAGGAGTTATGTAAGAGATCAATGGAAAACTAGTAACTGACTGATCACTAATATTCTTGCATGATGAATGTATGGGGTGTGCACAAAGAGTTATGGATACATGCTAGAATTATGTTTTAAAATTTGTTTGACAAGCAATACATAAGCCGACTCAGCCCTAGATAAAGGAATGTGTAATTGTCTGACCAGCCTCATCATCAGACAGAGACAATGAAGGCATATTTACATAAAAGGTAAAGAAAGCCATCAACCTAGTGAATTGCCTCTGAACTATAAAAACAGGGGATCGAACTTCAAATGATAAGTAATATAATCAACTGATAGTATACAACATTACTAATGGCAAGTTTATGTCACGGAGTTCACTTAAGTCACAGATTCCATAGCTTCCAGAGACCTCCAAGACACTTTCCACTTCAGCCCCAAGGTGGTACGGCTGGAGCTGTTAGCCAGAGGAGGCCCTGGAGCTCTGAGCTGCTGCAGGCAGTAAGGGGCCACTGCAGCTCTTGGCTGCTGTGGGCAGTGGAGGGACCCGGAGCTCCAAGCCACCAACTTTGCAGCTCCCAGCCACTGCGGGCGACCAAGGGCAGAGCTCTGAGCCACCACTGGCAGCGGGGGGACCTGTGGCAGCAGGGGACCCCACAGCTCCCTGCCACTGGCCCCGCAGCTCCGAGGGGGAGCCCAGAGCCGTCAGCCACAGCAGTGGCAGGTGCTGGACCCCCTCCCCCTATTTCCCCTCCCGGAGCCAGGTTTAGGCTCTCATCCCCCATTTTGTCACAATTATTTTTAGTAAAAGTCAATGACAGGTCACAGGCTTCTCTGTATTTTTTTTATGGCCCGTGACCTGTTTCTGACTTTTACTAAAAATAACAGTGACAAACTCTTAACCTTAAATATTATTGTATTATAAAAAAGTGTATCAAGCAAGGTCTTTTATGAAAGCTAATGACACATTGGTGATTAATATCACTGTGAAATGAATATATTAACATATTAGGAAACATGGATATTCACTAACATTATGGTCTAAAGTCTGACCAAAGGAAGAGAAGCAGGTTTTCTCCCACACGCAGGCCGGAAGGCATCTCAGGAGTGTTAAGGTAATAAATCTCCAGCCTTTTGTCCAATGCTGAGTCCTTACTTAAAAAACTACTGAATCAATCCTCTGGAATGGGCAGGCAGAGGTGGTGTAATTTAGGACAACATTTCACATTGTTCATTCAACCACACTGCCCAAACTGCTGTCACTTCTGAACGCATAACATTAATGAAAATCTTATTTAAGAGTAAGACTGCAACATTCAGGAAGCCAAATACCAAAAGACTAAGGTCCACTTTCTTTAGAAACTTCCATGAAATGAATTTCTGGTCAGAAATAGTGCTCTGCATATCCTGTAAATTCATCCATAGAGTTCTAGCCATGTAATATATCAAACACCTACATATAAGCGATTGTTAAGCACTTTGCAAATACATCATAAAGCATCCCTTTTTGCTAATACCTTTCTTAGAGATTACATTTTCCTTCAGAATAAAGTCCTAGAGAGCACAAACAGAACAGCCTTCTACTGGGCTCCAGACACTGTGCACTTAGCATTTTTCTGAACAGCAGCTGAAACATTTTTCTCAATGCTAAAACACAGACTTTGTCTTCACCCCTTCTAGAAATTGAAAGTCACATCAACCTTCAATTGCGACGTTAGGTCTTTTGGCTGTATATGCCAGACTCTAAATCTTCTGAATGGCAAGGCATGGAAGAGAATAAGGGGTTGTTGTTGTTTAAGAGACAATGCTGCTTAGGAGAAAACTAGTCACCAACAAATTTCTATTACTGCCTGCTTCTAAGAGCTATATTTATTATTCAAGTAACACATAAAGGTAGTGATTCCACAGAACCATTTCACCTTTAAGGTAATAAGGCAATTTAGATTTTCCGTTCATTAGAACTGGAATTTCAAAAAGGTCAAGTTAAGAAGCTCTGAGGGTGAGCAAGGGATCTTGCCTTGATATGCAAAATGAAGATCCATTGATCCACTTCCTTAATTCTGCAATTAGACCTCTGAGACCAGACACTGGTCCTGAAAACTCTCACTTTCGTTTTACTTCTCTCTTTATTAGGAAGAAATCAGTTCAGCAAGACAGTCTGTTGGGCTGCAGTGACAAATGTACAGATGGCATTAGCACGCCTACCATTTTCTCATAGATGTTACAGGATAAGGTAACAGCCTATAAGCCTGATGTGCAGAAAGAAAGTCTTCACAGACAAAAGTTATTAAAGGGAATTAATGTTGAAGGCAAAACAAACTTGGACAAAGAAACAAGACCAGAAATGTAATCACAGTGATACAAGCATACTGTTGGCATTGAAGAAATAAATTAACAATAATAATAATCCTGATATATAGTTACTTATTTCTAATTGACTGACAATCCTAGAAGTGATTATTCAGATCAGAAGAAAGGAAATCCTCTTTCCTACAGATCTATGATTTTTATATTAAAAATTGTTGGAGATGTTAAAAAAAAATAAGACTTACTTCTTGGCAAGTGCTCTTCTTTCCTCAGGTGTGTAGTCAAGGGATCCTATGGCTCCCTCTCCTTTGGTTGGCATAAAACCAATAATGGCTAGTAAAGCTGTTCTTACTGAAATTGGAAAAAAAATAAAGATTCAAATTAAGTTTTTCCCAGAATTGTTTCTTAACTGAGTCTAGACTTGGGACCGGGGGGGAGGGGGTAATGAGTTTGTCTACAAGATTCCATTCTGTCTGAAGACTGAAGAAAGTTTCAAAAAATAAGGAGAACTCAAGAAAAATCCCTTTTCTTTTATGGCAAGGAGTCACAGATGGAAGGGTTACGTAAGGGGAGATGGTGAGGTGATGGCTGATGGAAGGGGGCAGAGGACAAAGACTGAAAAGGAAGGCTAAGGCCCATAGAAATAATTGATCAAAATGAACAGTTGAGTACAAAACAAGGAGGGAGGAAATAGAGTGGAAAAGGACCATAACAAGGAGATTAACTTGGCATGGCCCATGTACAGTTATTTGCTGAATTTGGGCCTTAGATTGTCAGCACATCGGGAGAAGGACTAGTTTTTCTGTGTGTCTGCAATGAACATAACATACCTGTCATGTGTACATGTTTCTTCTTTTGATTTATTACAATTGTTTATTATATATAATAAAAGAATGCCTATATAAAAACTTAAGGCACCATAACAGTAATTAAATAAATAGGCAAAAAGAAAAGAAGTACTTGTGGCACCTTAGAGACTAACAAATTTATTTGAGCATAAGCTTTCGTGAGCTACAGCTCACTTCATGTAATGCATACGATAAAGTGAGCTGTAGCTCACGAAAGCTTATGCTCAAATAAATTGGTTAGTCTCTAAGGTGCCACAAGTACTCTTTTCTTTTTGCGAATACAGACTAACACGGCTGCTACTCTGAAACCTGTCATTAAATAAATAGGCAATTACAGAAGTGCTACTCAGTTGGATAATACCTAAGAAAATTAACATACAAGCCCACAGATAATAAATACCACAGCAGCATATATACTGCCCACAAAAGCCCTCCACAATTGCTGAAAAAAGTTTAAAAGCTATTAAGCAGAGACTGAAAAATTGGTCTGCTCATAGAACCCCTGAGATTATGCAGCCTCAAAATGTTCATAGCTGTAATTCTGCTTCAGGAGAACATGCTGATTCATGCACAGTTCTATGAGCCCTGGTTTTCCACAATACTCTGGTCATAGAATTTAATCCTTTCAGTATATTTTAGTGTTCAATTTATATCCAGGGTAGGGACAAATGATTAACAATATGGCATAAAAACAAACAAGTGACAGATGAGGGTGGAAAATGCAAAAAGATGTGGCCTTGTGCAATGCATCCTGCGGCATGATTCCTCCTCTTCCCACTTCAGGGAAATGTATAAGTAGTATAGTGCAGTGAGACTTACAAAAAGCAAAAACCATTCAGTCATTTTAAACTCAGGGTGTTGGATCCTCCCCTCTCCTTTTAGAGTTCATTTAGTACAGAGTGCCATTTCAGAATTACAAACCATGTTACTCAGTTGACCACACACTACACATAAAGAAAAGGAGTACTAGTGGCACCTTAGAGACTAACCAATTTATTTGAGCATAAGCTTTCGTGAGCTACAGCTCACTTCATCGGAATGCATCCGATGAAGTGAGCTGTAGCTCACGAAAGCTTATGCTCAAATAAATTGGTTAGTCTCTAAGGTGCCACTAGTACTCCTTTTCTTTTTGCGAATACAGACTAACACGGCTGCTACTCTGAAACACTACACATAGAATCATAGAATATCAGGGATGAAAGAGACCTCAGGAGGTCATCTAGTCCAACCCCCTGCTCAAAGTAGGACCAATCCCAACTAAATCATCCCAGCCACGGCTTTGTCAAGCCATGCCTTAAAAACCCTAAGGATGGAGATTCTACCACCTCCCTAGGTAACCCATTCCAGTGTTTCACCACCCTCCTAGTGACATAGTTTTTCCTAATATCCAATCTAGATCACTATTCAAGCTGATTCAGAAGGAAAACTTAAAGTGACCAGACTAGGAAGTAAAGGATTCAAAGTATTTTTCATAACTATAAATTTAAAACAACACTCAGAATGTTTTATATACACAGCCTTGTAAAATTCTACCTGCTTGTTTACCTGGGGCAAATAAATATCAATAGTTCACCATACTTCTCTTGATCTCCCACCCCCTTGAGCCCATCAGTATTCCATTGTCTGTTCCAAGTCCTCCCTATACCTCCCTCTCACACCAATTCACATCCCTTCACTGATCTTAAACATACCACCTTACCTTTCCCCTTCCTGGGTACCCCATCCTTTTTTCTCCCTTGAGATCAGCCCCCTTTACTCTCTCCCTATGAGATTTCTTCTCCTATGGTGCTTCCTGTTTTCCACTCTTTTCACAAGACTGAGGAAGGGTGCTGGTGAGGGTGGGTGGGAGGCCTGGTTCCACCTTCCAGTATGCTATAGTTGCTGCTCAAGTTGAAGGGAAACAGCCTTCCTACTTCTGTATGCTTTGGCTTGGCTGCTTGCAACTGTGCAGTATCCCTCCTTGCGCCAGAGACTATCTTGCCAACTCAGCAGAGGAACCATTTCATCTGCAGAACTCAAGGCAGCCTAGTGTCAGTGGTAGCCATAATCCTGGCATCCACAAAAAAACCCAACACTACATGGGACTTATGATCATGGGCTATACAGGCCCCAATGGCTAGTTCCAGGCAACTGTGGTGGAAACTGTAATAACCCATGTTGTTTTTGGAAAATTAGGGTGATATACTTTCAACCATAGTGATTAATTTACACCAAGGTGACCTCCACAAATTCAGTGGCTATTTTTCCTATTTTGCTTAAAAATGGAGATTAATATGGACATCTATGTTGGTCAGAAAATGGAGTTAGGGCATAGCTCTGGAGTTTTCAGACCCTAAAGGTCAGCCCTGCTAACCTGAACAGAATGTGGCATGAATGGTTAAATTAGATTGAAACAGGAGAGGAAGTGCTCACAGCACCAGCCAAGACTCCTACTCACCCTTTACCTTACCCCTGAAGAAACATACAATTAGTTGGCATTCAGCAAATATAATATTGTCTTAGAATTTATTTTTTTTTAGTCCTGTGATCAATAGATACAATAATAAGATACTGATTCCATAGTCAATTCAACTAAGATTTGTTTACAAAGAAACTTTAAGTGAGCTTAATAGAAATGCATTAAATTCAAAGTTTAATCATCAACTTATCCAGGAAAAATGATAACACTAAAACCATGTGCCTCTTCTCACCATTCTACTTATTTCTCTATAAGGGACAGAAACTGAAACAATGTTATTTCCAGTGTCTCCTTGAGGTCAGGGGAGTAAGTAGAAGAAATTCCTCTGCATGTCATCAGAGATTGGCCCATATATCAAGCACTGTGCTTAATGATATGCTGATGAGCACAATATAAAACTGAAATAAGATAATGGATAATTTCACAAAGAACATAATTCTGAAAACTAGTTTTGTTGGTGTCCATCAATGTTTTGCTGAAGAAGAATTACACTGAATATTAAGTAATACTCACTACTCCATGAAGGCTGCCACGTTTCAGGGTGATGTCCTGAGATGCTTAAACAAATTTTCTTCCCTACTTCAAACCTGCCATTGGCCTTCAGGGAAGAGAGACGGGGAAGAAAAACAAAAAAGACATTATTCAACCCAAATATTCCTTGTTAAACTAGCTTCTACCAATAAAACTAAGCGGTAAAAATCTTTTCAAGTAAATCTGTTTGCAATCATCATGTAACAACTGAACAAATGACAACAACATAAAGCTCGACTAGGTTTGTTGAAGCCACACTTGCTGCTGTTTACACAAATCACTGAAGACAATCTCCCATTTAAGATATCTTTTAAACATAACATAAATAGCAGAAGTCCTCCAAAAGTGAGTTCTGTATTCCACTTTTAAGATCTGCAACATTTAATATGACAAATGAGAATAATTTCAATGCTTTAAAAGCCAAAAATACTATGGAAAATTTACTGGAATTGATTAATAATGGGTGATCATAATCAAATTTTTGAATCATATACAAAAATTTAGAAGTTAAGGCCACTATGATGCTGTCCTGTTTTGCCAAAACATATTTTAAGTGTTGCTGAAAGGGTAGCTCTTGTTATATTTACAGGCAGAACTGGTAGCACCATCTATAGTTAAGGTTGCCGGATACTTTCAATCATAAGACCCTGTTTTCCGTTGCTTATGACTTAGTCAAGCATTTGCCAAATCCATGGTGGGTGTTCATGTGAGGCTGATTTGGAGGGAGAAGTTTCAGCTAACACAGTTCAGCAGTTTCCAAGAATGAGATTAGGAAAAAATACATTGTTTTGCCCATGTTTATTTTTTTTTTTAAACAAATGTTCAGTTCAAAATCTCTAGCACCTCTATGCTTCAGAGAGACTTAAAATTTGACACCAGGAAAGTGCTTTTTTGCCATCTCTGTGAAAATTATCCAAATTTTACCAATTTATGACCCTTTGGAAAAATCTCAGCTTTCATATGCTTACTAGAGGCTTGACCGAGTGTGGCAGGTAAATATTCTGATGATTCCAACTTCACTGGGCATGCTTCAGCCCAGGGTTCCAGGGGCTTAGCAGGATCCCCCTGCAATTACTCCTCCCAGCTGCTGGGCTTCACTGTGGTATGGAACACAGGACTAAGAGCAGTGAAACTGTCCTTCCTGCACTATCTGTGCTCCCTGTCTGGCACATAGCCAGTGTGAAGGATGAGCAGCAAATTTGAGTGCTGAGTAGATGAAGAGGCTGCAGGAGCCAGAGGGTACAGGGAGCAGAGGAAGAGGGAAGGACCCAGGGAGTGGGGATAAATAGAAGCAGAGGCTGAAGGGGCAGGAACCAGGGGTGTACAGGAACAGAAGAGGACAGGAACAAGGTGAGGGCACAGGAACAGAAGGGTCCACAACCACTGTAGCAAGCTCCCCTTCAGAACCTGGAACTGAACTCAGGAATCCTGAGCGTCTAACATTCCTCTGCTGTCAACAAACAGCTGTGAGACACACGCTTTTTTAGTAGATTTCATCCCCTTCTAGTAGCTGGTCCACATAGAGGATAACAGCCTACTCCTACTACCAGTACTCCATTAACTCAAGTGGTAGAAATTTGTACTGTAGATGTAAAAGTCCAAAACCCTGCTGACGACCCAAGTAGAGGGGTCAATATGGCTCCACTTTATATAATTTAATTATGATACAGTCTTTAATTACATGATCACATACTATTTTTTCCATTCTTGTATCTTAATGCATATGCACAAGGGTTCTGAATTAAGGTTGCATAGGTAACCTTAATTCTGGCATTTCTTAAGTTTTGAGTGCTTGTCTTTGCAACTTTCATACTCACATATACACACACACACACACACACACACACACACAAATATTGAATTATTTACTAAATAAAATCCTCCTGACACAAATTTGAGGCAAGGTCCTGCCTGGTGCTGGTCACATGCAGCTCTTGATGTCAATTGAAACTGGATAGTAAACCTCTCTCAAGACGAGGTCACTCAGTTTGTTTGCTCATCCACTATTTCTCATTGTTTCTCTGGCCTTGGAATAAGAACTTGAAGTGTTTTAATAAACAGATTATATTTCATTACAGTTACTATAAATAACATTTCAGCATGCAACACAGGTAACTGTCCCTGCCTACATCACTATTCCAAAGTGAATCAAATGGCATGGCATTATGCCTCCTACCACAGCAGTAGGGGAATTATTTTCCCTCCTCTTTCAGTGGTCAAAGCACTAAGTTCAGTTCATCCTACAGTAGGGTGACCAGATAACAAGTGTGAAAAATCGGGACAGGGGGTGGGGGATAATTGGCACCTATAACAGAAAAAGCCCCAAATATCAAGACTGTTCCTGTAAAATCGGGACATCTGGTCACCCTATCCTACAATGGCTTTTCCATAATGTATATAATCTTGCATAAATAGTCTTCAGATTTTTCATTTAGTCTCATTTACAGGTATACAAATGGATAAACAAAACAAAAAGGCACAATTCTGCACTTTTCTCTAAGTGAACTCTCTCCCATATTGCCAAAATCTTTTATGGTTACTCTAATTGAAATGACCATATAAAAAGGATGACTGCTAAATACTCTTACTGTTAACAGAATGATGCTTGGGGGTTTCATGGGATACTCTGGTGGTAGTACTATTCGTCCATGATAAATTCCTCCATCAAAATCTGAATCTGGAGGGCCTCTAACAGTAAAATGCCATTCAAAAAGATTATCCTAAAAAACAAGAGCACATAAGTCAGAGAGAGCAGGACAAAAACAGATAATTATTACTTTATTAAAACAAGCATGGACTGTAACTCTGTAGAATAGCAAAAATTCAAAATCAGAAGAATGCTACATGAGAATAACTACTATAAGACAGTGCAGCATTGTGGAGGCTACAGTTAAGGAGCAATACAGCACTGAAAAAAGCAGCAGCAGGTTGGCAAAAACGGGAGGTTGAGTCAGTTTCCATGTATGACTTATTTTTTATTGCGCTTTCTAGAGGTGCAATTTTTGGTTGCTGGATGTTGTTAAGTTTCAACAGAGCTCTCAGCTTACAGCACAAGATCACAGTCATTTTTCACCTAATGAGCCTGAACTGTGGGTTCTTCATAAACCATGAAAGTATTCATGATATGTGGTGCAAACTCCTTTAGAGCCTCTAACCTATGGAGACTGGCAGAGATTAACCTCTGCAACACATTAAAACTATTATTATGATCATTCCCCTTTCTAAAATATGAAATGTAATCCTCATCATATTCAAGATGATAAAGAGGTGCTTTGAACCAGCTATTCCATCTGATTATTACAGGGGTCGGTGGTATGCAAGGACTTTTCCCTTTTTCAATTAGAAACATACAAAACTGTGCTTTCATTGTAGGGCAGACAGTGAAAGCCTGTTTTATAGTCACAACAAATGCATTTACTTTTAAAAGTATTTTCATCCACAAATCGCCAACAAGGTTAAGGAAATGCACCATGCACATCAGGTGTACTGCATTTAAAAATAAAGGTTTCAAACCTCAATCCCAAACTCTCACCATGTAAGTGACATTATCTGTCACAAATGCAGTCATGCAATCAAATGGTATTGTGAATTTCTCAACAGTTTCCCTTACTGCCTGGATTACTGTTTTAAATTAACTGCTTCCAAAACCTCATAACTCAATAAAAATACTTCCAGCTTGTTTTGTTCATGTGGAGCTGAAGTAGCTTTGTTGTCACTGCTTGTTGGGCCAAGGATGGCGAGAATATTGAGTACATATCTGTCTTCAGCATCAATAGTTTCATCTGCTACCATGCTTTTCTTTTAAATCTTGAAAGTATGCGTGTTGGGATGTTAGTCCCAGGATATTAGAGAGATAAGGTGAGTAAGGTAGTATCTTTTATTGGACCAACTTCTCTCATCTTTCTCACCAATAGACATTATCTTTTATTGGACTAACTTCTGTTGGTGAGAGAGACGAGAGAAGTCAGTCCAATAAAAGATATTATCTCACCCACCTTGTCTCTCCAATTACTGAATGTCATATTCAAAATTCTTTAGAAAGTTTTACTTACCCAACTGGTCTGCACTAGGTATAACTCCAGTGTGTGTTCCAGATTGCATTCTAAAAACCCTCTGAGTTTTGAATTGTGAAGGATATACAAGAGGGAGAAATCTGCTCTTCGATCTTAGTAGTAAACAGCTGTTTTCTGACATTTCAGATTTCTGTTTTCCTCCACTTGTAATGCCTCTGGTTGGTACTTATGTGTTGCACTTTCCAGATGCTTGTTACAGCTAGTGTTTCTGGTAAAATCAACATGCTGCACTAGATACAAAATAACTTTCCTTTGTTTTCATTAAATGTTTGAGAATATTGCTGTGCTCGTTGCTTAGCACTTAATTTTGCCAATTTTTACTCATATTTTGTTGCTGGCGTTGTTGTCCACTATTTACCATTATTCAAAGGTTTGCATATTCCAACCATTTTAACTTTTTCACTTCCGCTGACACCGCAAAAAAGTCATGATCGCTTACTGTTAATTAAGACATGCTCTCTGTTTTCACAGTTGAGTTGAAATCAACAGCAAAATTTACAGGGTCTGGGGACAGTGGTGACCAACACTGAGAAAGTCATATCCCTACTCATGACTAATGCTAAATGCTGGATCACAGCTGTATGTTTGCCCACCTACTTATCACTCTTGAAAGGACAGAATATAGTACTGTCAACATTTATTCAGGTTTTGCTTCTCACTGTTCTCTCCCCAGGAGAGAGAGACTGTCCTAATAAGGAATCAGCAGATTCATACAAACTACCAGCAAATAACATCCTAAAATAGGCCTTCATATTCTTACTATTACAAAAATCCAGGTACTGTTTATCCCTGAACTTGGTTTAAAACACTGGAATTAAAATAAAACAGAAATATAAGTGAAAAAATAAAAGTTGATATTTTACCAAAATCATTATTCAGGAGAAAAACTGCAAGCAAAAACAAAAGCTAATCAATAACAATAATCTGTTCTTTATAGCACCCAAAAGCATGTTAAGTGCTCTACGTATGCTAACTGCACTAAGCTTTTCTGCAAAAATTCCACCAAAGGACAAAGTCCCAACATTTAGGGCTTCTGTTTTTTAAGGTTTCAGAGTAGCAGCCGTGTTAGTCTGTATTCGCAAAAAGGAAAGGAGTACTTGTGGCACCTTAGAGACTAACAAATTTATTTGAGCATAAGCTTTCGTGAGGAAGTGAGCTGTAGCTCACAAAAGCTTATGCTCAAATAAATTGGTGAGTCTCTAAGGTGCCACAAGTACTCCTTTTCTTTTTGTTTTTTAAGGTTTACTTTTAGAAATTTTTGGGTTGTGTGTAGATATCCAAAAATGGGGGGTTTTCAGGGCTCTCTCTCTCTGTATATGTTGTAATGAGTAATCTGTTTGTAATGTAGTACTGTTTCAAACAGCACTATGTTAAAGCACACTAGGGAACCTTTAGTATGTACCAGCAAGGTCTACAGGAACAAATTAACGTGCAACACTTTAGCGCAGGGGTTCTCAAACTTCGTTGCACCACAACCCATTTCTGACAACAAAAATTATGACATGATCCCAGGAGGGGTGACCAAAGCTTGAGCCCACTCAAGCTCTGCCACCCCAGGTTGGGGGGGAGGGTCAAAGCCAAAGCCCGAGCCCCACTGGCCTGTGCAAGGGTACAAAGCTGAAGCCCAAGTGCTTCAGCCCCAGGCAGGGTGCCTGTAACTTGAGCCCCACCACCCAGGGCGGAGGACCTCGGGTTTTGTCTTTGGGTTGGTGGGGCTCAGGCTTCAGCCCTGCGCTCCAGCCAGTCTAAGCCAGCCCTGGCGACGCACTTTGGGGGTCCCAACCCACAGTTTGAGAACCGCTGCTTTAGTGCACTTAGAAAATCACACCCTCCAAGTCTGCATTACTGCTCCATGTAGACAAGCCTATAGATACAAATAACCATTTCTGGTGTTTACTGGATAAACACCCCTCATTTTTTTTTCCCTTTTTTTAAAAATTGGGGGGTTTTCCAGCTACAACCTAAAACCAGAAACTCTAAAATACTGTAACATAAATCATTAGGATATATTTTTTTTAAGTTTCGTCTTGTCCGCTCTAGAATTTCACCTTTCCTCAAATTTTTGACTGTTTATAATATTTCCAGGACTGAGACTGCAGCATAGAGAGCATCATTAGGGTAAGATTTTTTTTTTTTAAAGGTGAGATCCTGCAACTGCTCCCTTCTGCTCCTACTGAACAACCAGTTACTTCAATGGGCTCCCATGTATGCACAGGGCTGCACACATGTCAATCCAATTACAGGATCTAGCCTTAAACTTTCTGCTAGGGTAACTTCATAACATGAATTTCTTTTTAGATGTATAACCACTTTACATTTAAATTATGATGTTATGCAATTCCCAGGGGAAAAACATATTGCAACAATGTGACATGACTATTTAGATAAAATCTTAACTTTTATTATGTACTTTTTACCGATGAGTCAACTCCATGAAGTCATTAGATTAAAAATGTTCCTGGTAGTTTTCAAGGAAGGAAAAAATAAAAATCTGACCATTTTAATAAGGTCTATTAATCTCCAAAACCAAAATTAAATATTATGTATGGACTTAAAGCAATGTAACCAGGCAGAAAAATATTAGGTATTATACAGCAGAGACAAACTAACAGCTACAGCAAATATACACAGAAACTAACCTCCAAGGGCTGTGCATGGTAATGATCTGTAGGATCCTTCAATTCGGCTGCTTCCTTCATTAAACGTTTGACAGCTGAAAAAGGAAATTTGGTATATCAGTATGAAAAGCTCCCTTAAAAAATAAAATATACGGGAGATTTTGTTAGCATTATCTTGAAGGAGTCACTTCATATAACAAAGTAGCTTATATGGTACAGCACACCATGTTTCTCTCACATGACTTCATTCTCAGATGCACATGATAAATTACTCAGATAGGGTACAGGATTTAATGAGTCATAAGAGCACAAAGTTCTGAGAAAAATTATATTTAGTTGTTTCACAGTTTCCCAAATAATGTATCTCAACATTATGAGTAAATTGTACGTGATTTATTAATTCGGCCCTTACATTAAAGCTGAGGGGGGGAATACAACATTTACTAGGTTTTCACAATTGCTTTCAACAAATACAGATGAACAAGAAATACCTATCATTATATTTTATCACAAGAAGAACCTCCTTGCATTTCAGCAATTGCCTAAAAAAAGTAAGGGCTTGTCTACACTACTACTTAATGACAGGTTTCAGAGTAACAGCCGTGTTAGTCTGTATTCGCAAAAAGAAAAGGAGTACTTGTGGCACCTTAGAGACTAGCCAATTTATTTGAGCATGAGCTTTCGTGAGCTACAGCTCACTTCATCGGATGCATACCGTGGAAACTGCAGCAGACTTTATATACACACAGAGAATATGAAACAATACCTCCTCCCACCCCACTGTCCTGCTGGTAATAGCTTATCTAAAGTGATCATCAGGTTGGGCCATTTCCAGCACAAATCCAGGTTTTCTCACCCTCCACCCCCCCACACAAATTCACTCTCCTGCTGGTGATAGCCCATCCAAAGTGACAACTCTTTACACAATGTGCATGATAATCAAGTTGGGCCAGCAGGAAATGGCCCAACTTGATTATCATGCACATTGTGTAAAGAGTTGTCACTTTGGATGGGCTATCACCAGCAGGAGAGTGAATTTGTGTGGGGGGGTGGAGGGTGAGAAAACCTGGATTTGTGCTGGAAATGGCCCAACCTGATGATCACTTTAGATAAGCTATTACCAGCAGGACAGTGGGGTGGGAGGAGGTATTGTTTCATATTCTCTGTGTGTATATAAAGTCTGCTGCAGTTTCCACGGTATGCATCCGATGAAGTGAGCTGTAGCTCACGAAAGCTCATGCTCAAATAAATTGGTTAGTCTCTAAGGTGCCACAAGTACTCCTTTTCTTACTACTAAAGTCAATGTAGCTTACATTGCTCAGGGGTGTGAAAAAAACACCCGCTGAGAGACCTAAGTTACATTGACTTAAAGCGCTGTCTACACCAGGCTATGTCAGCAGGAGACACTCTGCTGCTGCCATAGCTTCCACCTCTCGTTGAGGTGGGGTAAAATTATGTCAATGGGAGAACACTCTCCCGTCAACATAGCCCATCTTCACCAGATGCGCTACATCAACAGCTGAATCCATGCAGCTATGCCGATGTAGCACACTAGTGAAGACAAGCCCTAAAAAACTTTACACCTTGACTGCTAACTGTCAGAAAAGTTACATAACTATTATCTTTAACAGTGCAAACAAAATCATTGAGAGATTTCTATGAGAGGATCGAACATTGGAAAGTACACGGGGACACACAGATACACTTTACATTTTGCCATTGAAAACATACATACGTGGTGCCCGAAACATTTACCCCACATGTAGTACCTTGATAACTAAGCCTACCAGTAAGGATGAAAAATACTTGTGCCACCATTCCCACACTAAAGCCTCAGTTCGGGCCAGGTGAAGAGATAGCCTCCACTCCTTCCCAGGTGCTTGGAAAGGTGAGACTGCTGTAATTTCTATCAGGGTGCTGTCCCTGGACCATGAATGGTAGCTCGATCTTTCATATCACTCGCATAGTAATAATTGTTTGATAAGTGTGAAGCCCCACACCCACCTGACCCTTATTACTGCAATAAAAGAGAAGGAAGCCCTCTGTGTTGCCCCTTCCACCCTCAGCCTCATGGTCATAGGCACTGACTTTTATTTTTCTCCATTCTGAAGTCCCGTCCTCACTCCGCCTCCTCCCACTCTCACTCCACCCCCAGCCCCCAAGGCGCCTGCCCTCGCTCCACCCCGAGCCCCCCGCTCGCTGTTCTCTGCCCTCCCGCAATCTCCTCCCCAAGATGCCAAAAAGCTGATCAGCAGCACCGCCCATCAGCTATGGCTGGTTGGAGCTGCGCACCCACTATTTTTCTTCTGTGGGTGCTCCAGCCCTGCAGCACTTTTTGGCCCGAGGGTTACATCGGGGTGCGAATCTGTATCGAGGGCCGGGTAGGAAGGCTGTGCCTCCCCAAACAGCCTGGCCCCTGCCCCTATCCACCCCCTCCCACTTCCTGCCCCGATTGCCTCCCTCAGAACCTCTGACCCATCCAACCTCACCTGCTCCTTGTCCCCTGACCACCCACTCCCGGGACCCCACGCCCCAAACCACCCCCCCGGGACCCCACCCCCTAACGCCCCCCCCGCTCCCTGTCTGCCCCCTGCAACCCTTATCCACACCCCTGCCCCCTGACAGGCCCCCCCCAGGACCCCACCCCCTATCCAACCCCCCAGTTCCCCGTCCCCTGACTGCCCTGACCCCTATCCACACCCGCAACCCCTGACAGGCCCCCCGGAACTCCCGCCCCCTTACCATGCAGCTCAGAGCAGCAGGAGCTCGCAGCCTCACCGCCCGGCCGGAGCCAGCCACGCTGCCCACGTGGCGGCATAGCTACAAGGGAGGGGGGACAACAGGGGAGGGGCCGGGGGCTAGCCTCCCTGGCCAGGAGCTCATGGGCCGGGCAGGACAGTCACACGGGTCGGATGTGGCCCGCGGGCCGGAGTTTGCCCACCTTGGTCAAGAAGATACCATCAGAGATGCTTAGTTTTGCAGTTCTCAAACTGTGGATATGTGTCTCCAGAGATAACATGCTTGTTAACAGCAAAAATGTTTTTTAAATAATATAAAGAGGTGAGAAATAATAGACCTCAAACCTCTTGTCCCTCTGCAAATTTGTGTAAACAGAGTCAGTCCCTTACTTCTCTCTAAAAGTGCAAAGTTTCAAAAAGTTCAATGGATAGAAGGTTGTTGGGGGCAGAATAGACCAAGACAAGGAGAAGAAGTCTGGAGATAAATGTGAGAAGGGAGAGACAGGCAGTAGAAACAAAAGGGAAACTGTTTGAGCAGCATATTCCAGAAGTCTTCAGGTCTTTCTGAATGTAGCCTTCATTGATTTGAGATCTACCATACCATTCTCTCACTAGAAGGGAAAACCTATAATGGCAGCAGGCTGTAAAAGAGTCCCAGTTTGGAAATAAGAACCAATCAAGAAATACATGTTTGCTGAAGTTTTAAAGAAAGTCACACCAGTGAACTGGTGGAAGTCACTTAAACACTTGGATTCAGAGACTGCTGAAGTGATAGCAGCAGTAATTTCTTCTACCAGTGTAGAAATAATATTTCCTTCCTTTGGACTAATTCATTCCAAACTGAGAAATCGTTTGGGACCTGAAAAAGCAGGAAAGCTTCTTTTTCTTTTCCAGTTTATGAACAAACAGGAAAATGAAGGTGAAGATGACTGAGTTAGCTGCAGAAGCCAATATTTTAAGTTTCTCATGTTGACCTGGCTGACACAGTCAATTTAATTTTTGTTTTTCTAAATATTTCATTTAACTATTTTATTTTAAAACAATTTTAACAAAAACAAACCTGATTTTAAAAAATGTGAATGTTTAACTACATTCAAAAAATCATGTTTGTTTTATTAAAATATTATATTTTTGCTGTTGAAGAAAAAAATCCAGAATACATAACATTGTTGTTTTAGTTAAATAAAAAAATGTAAATGTCTGTCTGGTGATGCTCTCCTCCTAACACAGCATAGCAAGAAAATCCTCCAAATATTAATAATTAACCTGTTGAATTGGAGATATTTATGAAGTCACTGGGCGGCGAACTATCTGCTTCAATTACCTTTGGTAAATGAAATAACCAAACAATCATTCATTTTCTGATAGAGCTGTAAAACTAATCTGAAAAGTTTTCAAAATAAATCACTTTAAAAATGTACAGTGTGTACCCTCTAAAAATGAAACCTACATCTATCTCTGAGTTGTGAAGAATATGTATTAAGGTTATAACAACCAACAAGAATGCGCTTTTATGTAGAAATCCATGATTAAATCGAGTCTTCCTGACTAGTGATTTAAATCATGATATGGCAGAAATGATATGAGAACGAATAGAAAAAAAATATTGCTTTGATTACGATCTTCATTAATCTGACCCTGTGTACAGAGTGACTAAATCCACAGAAACATCTTCAGATATAAGATATAATCCTTTATCCAAAACCAAGAAAACCTTCATAAATTCAGTTAAAAAGTATTTATTTGAAGGCTAATCAAGGCTACTTGTACATTTCAAATCTGGTGGGAAGTTTGATTTGAAGAATGAATCACAAAATTCTCCTATGAAAATGAGAACTGCTATTTAAGCCAGGTAAATAGCACCTCTGATTTGTCAGATTAGGTGCAGCAGATTTCAGTATAAAACTTATCACAAGGATAAAGGAAAGCAGGGCATCTGCTCTAGAAATGGAACTGAGTTAGCAGAACAATTTTAAACATGGTTTTAATCCTGTTCATGCTAACACAGTTTAGGCATATTTTGGCTAGCCAAGGTAGGCAGTCAAATCAGTTTTTAAAATGCATTTATATCTAGAAAACCTGGAGTTTAATCAGTGGAGTGTCAGTGCCCGTGGATGATGGTGACATTTGAAAGTGGATAGGCAAATCTGACAGAGAACTGAGGTGTCTGGACAATGAAGTCCTTGAAAAGTTACCTTCTGATAATTTTTACAATGTACGCCAAGTAAAATTAACCACATCTTGACTATTTTATACAATTCATTTACAAAGTAACCATATTATTTATAAACAGAACATTTTTAAGCCATGAAATACAACAGTGTGGTGATACTATTAAAAAGAAATAGAAAAGGGAG